CTAATTACAGCATTTTCAATCTCCAATACAAGATTATATCTTGAGATAGAGGTCATCAAGGGAATAGATGATGCAAATGCAAATATTAATAACAATACTTCTATTAAAGAGCGAATTTCTATCCAATATGTTTTCAGGAATGACTGGTATTTAGTTAAAAAGCAGACAAGGTGAAATTTGTTGTAGACAAATTTCTGACTGTTTGGTGGTGGGCAACACTTAGCCCTAGGGTTAAAAATAATTTTTTTTTCTTAAGAAATTTTTAATTTCTGGTAATAAAAATACTTATTGGATATGATTAGGCCCTTTTAAGTTACTAATAAAGTCTATACTCCAAAATCTATTAATTTTGATATTCCTTAAAGCTAAATATAGGGTCTTGTGTACGTTCTGTCTTGTAGAACATAACTAAAAGTGCTTCTATTTTATGAATACATCCTCAAGATTAGCAAAGCCACTATACACAGAATTTAACACAAGACATGGCAAGAGAAATTTCAATTATTTTTAAAACATAGAATAATAGTGAGTGATTTAAGGGAAAAATTTATCACTGCCTAATAAGGACAATAGTTAGAAAGCTGTTAAACTCTCAATTTCTACTAAACAACATGATGTAACTACACAAAAATAGGCGTAACTGACAGTCATCCCTAGGTATTGGGGAACTGTGAATAGATCACATACTCCACTAAAAGATTCACCACCCTATGGGCATATAAAACCACAACTTGCCACCACCTATGTAGCTTTTATTAAAAATCCTATAAAAGTAATTTATGTTAACAAACCTAAAAAAGTTTTTAAAGGTTTTCAATAACTTGAACTACTTATAAAAATACCCTTTAGAAGTTATTCTGATAGCCAAGCCTGGTTTTACACGTGACCTTACTTAAATGGAGGGAGTATTCACATGAGTAGCATCATGCTATTGCTAGAAATAAACAAGCAAGCAAACAAGCCCCATGAGAGCTTTGATTCCAAGTATTTCTCCTGGGGTAGGAGTGAGGGATCCAGATTCCTATAAGTTGTAAAGATTCTTCACTGATCTTGACTCATTCTCAGTAACAGTTTTAGAAACATAAGGAAAATACATGTATAGGAGGAAAATAAATTAATACCAACTAAAATTCTACTCTAAGAATGCATTATTATATTAATAAGTAACTACCTCAAAGAACTACAAACAAGTATTTTATTAAAATGCTTTCTTTTTTGTAAATAGCCAGACTAAAACATTGGAATAAATATGCTTTGGAAATGATTTCCAACTCCATATGGCTTTCAGTATCATGTTACTTAGATAAAATTAAACTATTACACGAAAATAGCATTTGTGATCACAAAATTCATTTTTAGTTCAGGCTGGCTTAAAGGATTTGACATAAAACATACTATACAAGGTAAAATGTAATAAAATAAATTGAGGATTAAATATAAATAAAAATTTAATAGCAATAACCCAATTTTCATATTAAAACAAAATATTCTACCTTTGCTATTACAGGCAAGAATTCTGATAGTATCATGTATTTTTTTTTTTTTTTACTAAAGTTCTCTCTTACAGGTGATATTCAAATTCAAGTTCATGCAGTTATAAAATCTTTAGTAGTTTGAAAAATCAACTGTAGTGTAATGTATAGTAACTACTTGCACAAAAGATGTGGATGCTTATGTCCAAATTTGGGTTGCTTAAAACAACAACAGCAAAATCCAACATCCTAAATCAGAAACAGTAATTGTAGGAGGTACTATTTTGAGTAGTATCTGAGGTACTACCTGTCTTATGTACACTGAAAAAGAACTATCTCTTAAAATTTTATTATTAAATACCTAAAAATGCAGGTTACTGTATGTGTATTAAAAGTGTATCTGAACATATTTCTAATGAGAAAACTGACAAATATTGTTCTCATTTTGTGGTTTATGCCAATGGGCACGATCAGCAGTACGGTCTGGAAATTTTATTCCTCATGAAGGAGATTTAAATCTACAATGAAGCTGGTAATTCTGATGAGTCAGGAGGTGCCATCAAATCAGTTAAGTTTCTGAGTTTCCTTCACCATTTTCTTGAGGTTGAAGCTGTTCCCTCTCTTGTTCTTCTTGAGGTGGCCGGACACGTTTAAAAAAGCCCATCTGTCAGTTGAAGAAAAACCAACGTTATTGTCATATCATTGTAGAATTTTAAAAATATTTTTTGCCTGTATTATCACCAAGAAAATTTAAATAGCACTTCATAAAATTTCTTTTCCCTAAAAAAATAACTAATGCTCACCTATCAATTATAGGTTCCTTTCTTCCCTTAGTTTTTTATTCTTTCTTTCCCTCCCGCCCTTCTCTTTTTCTTCAGCTTTCTCCCCTTTTCCCTCTATTAAGTCCATTACTTACCCTGTACATTACAAATACCAAAACAGCCAGTAACAACAATCCTGCTAGCACTGCTAGAATTATCACCCACACGGGCACAGGCATGGGTGCTGGCTGAATGCCCCAGGTGACATTAGTCATAACCTATTGAGGAAAAAAGTTTTCAGATTTGAAAATAGTTCACTGACTTAATCAACAAATATTTAAGTGGCTATTATATTTTTATTTTAATAATATTCACTTTAAGTTCTTTCCTTGCATATGATAATTGAGTAAACTCATGATTGATATCTATAGTATGCACACATGCATATCAAATGCCCCACAACGGGTTAATGTCTGATTGGATGTGAAATAATTTTTAAATGATCCAACTCAGTTTATGATGTGCTCTTTAATCTTTAAAGATCTTTAAAATAACTCACTTGTTGTAGTTAACTTCCAACTTTCTAACTTTCTAATTTATTAATAGTATGTACCAGGCAATCTCCTACATAGTACAATATGCTAAAGTGAAAGGTCTAGCTTTAATAATTCTGGGGTGGGGGAGTAAAATATTACACCAGAGGATAATCTTACAAATAGCTTCATTACTTTAAATAATCGAAATACTTAAACTGACAATTAAAAAAATAAAAACATCTACAGCACTTGAACTGAGTACGTTTATTCTATTTCTGTAAATCTATGACTTACAAATGTGGAGTTGCCAATATCCTCAATTGGAAGGTTCTTATATGGAAACTCTATGACATTAAATAAAGCAGATGACTTCAGAGAGTATGAATGATTCTGGTTTTCCTTCTGTATGGAAAAACAGTGAAATGATTTCCCAGATGTTAGGTCTTTTGTATTTCTTTGGAAAAAAAAAAATGGACATGTTTGCTAAATTCCGTATCTGTTCACTTACATTCATAAAGGTCTCCGTCCACAGTAGAGACTTTACATACAGGATAGCACTCTTTCCTCTATCTAATCGCCCCACCTGGCAGACAATCTTCAAGCACTGAGCGATTCCACAGCCCTGCCAAAATGAATTCTTTACTTACAAGGAAAGGTCATTCTATCATCTCTTTAACACTTGAAAATTGGGTGTTTTTTTTCCCCCTTTTACATGACAAAGAGAGATTACCCAGAGTCCCATCTTATATGAATAATGCTTAAAAAGAGAAGGCTAATAGCTCAGTTTATGAATGTTTTTTATTAGGAAGGGGGTGATCTAATGTGTTTTTTTAATAGAAGAATAAGATTTAAATATTAAAAAATTCATTTTATGACTAGAACTCAACATTTTTAGGCAAACCAAGGTGATAATGGTAAGGTAGGAAAATCAAATCACAACATCCTTGTGGAAAGGGAACAGAGTGACCTTGTAATGGTTATTGTATGTTGGACCTGTAGAAATCAAACGGCATGTTGATGGCCTCTGCCGTATTGAGTGTTTTGATGAGTAAACTTAAAGGTTGGCAGCCACAGGAAACAAATACTAACTACCTCCTATGTGGGGCTCAGACTGCATTAGACATGTCACATAGCTATACCTCACAACACTGCTATCCAGTAAGTGGTACTGCCTATCCATGATTAGGAATAAGAGAGCTTCCATGATTTGATAAAAGGGATCCCACTGCCCACATCATACAGAGGAGCAAAAGAGTAGACAGTTTTTACTTTTCCCCTAAGATCAAGAAAAAGACGAGGATCCCCATTCATGCCACTTTTATTGAACGCTGTATAGAAGGTTTTAGCGAATGCAATTAAGACAGAAAAAAATAATAATTAAAGCCATCCAGATTAGAAAGGATGAAGTAAAGCTATCTCTTCACAGATGACAGGATCTTAAATATAGAAAAAACTAGATAATCCACACTAAAACTTACACAAAATCAATATACAAATATGAGTTCTACTTCAGTATAATAGCAATGAGGAATCGAAAAAGGAAATTAAGAAAACAGTTCCATTTTAAACAGCATTGAAATGAATAAAGTACATATAAGTAATTTAACCAAGGAAGTACAAGACTTGTACTGAAAACTGCAAAATATTGTTGAAAGAAATTAGTGACTAAATGAGCGAAAAGACACGTGTGTTGATGGCCTGAAAGATGTAGGATGTTAAGATGGCAATACTCCTTAAATTGACAAACAAACTCAACAAATGGCTATCAAAACTCCAACTATCTTTTTTTCAGAAATAGACAAGGTAATCCTAAAATCCGTATGGAATTGCAAGGGACTCTAGGTAGTCAAAATATTCCTTAAAAAGAAGAAAATGTATTCAGAATTTCCAAGTTCAAAACTTACTACAGACCTCCAAAGTCAAACAATTTGGTACTAGTATTAAAGATTCAATGGAATAGAATTCAGAGTCCAGAAATAAGCCCAGACATCTATATAGGGTCAATTCATTTTCAGCAAGTGTGCCAAGACCATTTAAGGGGGAAGAGTCTTCAGCAAATGTTGCTGGGACAATTGGATAGCCACATACAAAAGAATTGATTTGGGCCCCTATCTCACACAATACGTGAAAATTAACTCAGAATGAATCTGACATATAAATATAAGAGCATAAAGCATAAAACTTATACAACTGGAAAACAAAGGTAATAAATCTCCATGACCTTGATTTAGGCAATGGCTTTATAAACATGACAACAGAACTAGAAGCAACAAAAGATGACAAAGATAAATTACATTTCTTCAAATTTAAAACCTTTTGCATATCAAGCCAAGTGTGGTCACTAATGCCTAAAATCCTAGCACTGTGGGAGGCTGAGGTGGGAGGATTGCTTGAGGTTAGGAGTTTTGAGATCAGCATGAGCAAGAGGGAGACTCTGTAGCTACAAAAAAAAATAGAAACATTAGCTCAGCATGGTGGCTATAGTCCTAACTACTGCTTACTTAGGAGGCTGAGGCAGGAGGATCACTTGAGCGCCCAGGAGTCTGAGGTTGCAGTGAACTATGCTGAGGCCACTGCACTCTAGCCCAGGCAACAGAGTGAGACCTGTACAATCAAAACCCACTTTTGTGCAAGACACTATCAAGAAAGGGAAAAGATAATTCATAAAGAATGAGAGAAAATATGTGCAATCGGATATCTGATCAAAGTAGTATCCAGAATATATAAAACAATTTTTAAAAATCAAACAAAAAAATTTTTAAAAATCAAACAAATTAAAAAAGGGCAAAAAAAAAGAAAAAAAAATTCCCCAAAAAAAAAGCAAAAAAGAAAAGATGCTGAACATCATCCGTCAATTCAAAACTACAATGAAATACCTCTTCATACCTACTATGATGATTATAACAATGCAGAAAACAAACAAAAAGATAATGACAAGAGTTGACAAGGAAGTAGAGGAAATGAAACCTTCATACACTGCTGATTCTACTGTAAAATGGTGCAGCCAGCATGGAAGCAGTTTGGCAGTTCTCCAAAAAGTTAACTATAGAGTTTTCATATAACCCAACAATTCCATTTCTAGGTCTAGAGAATTTAAAAACATATGTTTGCACAAAAACTTGTGTGTAATATTCACAGTGGCACTATTCAAAATAGATAAAATGTGGCAACAATCCAGGAGTCCATCAACTGAACGGATACACAAAAGGCATTTTGTACACACAACAGAGTATTATTCAGCCATAAAAATGAAAGTAACAATACATGCTACAACAGGGATAGAGCTTGGAAACATGCTAAGTGAACGAAGCAAGACACAAAACCCACATACTGTAGGATGCTGTATATACGAAATGTCCAACACAAGAATGCAGATCAGCAGTTACCAGAGGCTGCAGAGAGACCACATGATGGACAGAGAATTTTTATGGAGGGAGGGGATGACAAAAATATTTGGAGTTATAGTGGTAATGGTTATACAATGTTGTGAATGGTTAAAAGAGCACAGTTTATGTTACGTAAGTTTTGTTTCAACTATAATGCTAACAGAATAGAGAGTATAGAATCCAAAGTGGGGTGGGGAGCATAAAGCCATTTCTGTTTCACATGGGCTGGGCAGGAAGTCCTCTATCATAATTTGACATTTAGGCACATGGGAAGGAGACAGGCAAGTAAGCCGCCATGACTTCTGGACAAAGAGTATTCCAGGGTGACAGAAGAGCAATTTTCAAAGCCTAGAAGAAGAAATCTGCTTGGGGCTGCCTGTTCAATGAAAACCAAGGTGGGGAACGGAGAAGCAGAGTGAGCAAGGAGAGGAGATGCAGGCAGGGAGGCAGGAAGAGCCAGATCACGTGGGGCAATGGCTCTCTCTCTGCATCAGATGGGAAGTGCCTGGGGTGACATGACTTGACCTGTACATTTAAAAGGATCACTGTCGCTTCTGTGTGGCAAATAATCCATAGTGAAGAGAAGGGTAGAAATACAGAGACAAGCTAGGGGTCTGGCAATAGTCCAAATGCAAGAGTAATGTGGCCTGTGTTAGCTTATGGCAGTGGTGGAAGGAGCCAGAGTCTGGATATTTTGAAAGTAGATACTGATAGAATTTGCTGAAATACAGAATGTGACAATTTGAAAGAAAGAGAAGCCCCAGTGTGAGGGCAGGTTTCAGATAAAGAATGGAGTTGATATTTACTGAAGTGTAAGACACTGTGGAAAGAGCAGAGTTGGGAAAACTCAAGGGCATGTTTTTAGAATTAAATTTGAAATTCCTATTATACATTTAAAAAGTTCTAACAAGTAGTTGGATATTGGAGTTTGGAGTTGAACATAAAGGATCAGAGTAGAAATACAAATTAAGGACATCCATATCAGATGATATTTATAGCCACAGGAATCGATAAAACCATTGAGTGCAGCACTGTCTGCTAAAACCTTCTATGATGGAAATTGTCAATATAGAAGATGCCCATATTTCCTGATAGATGGACTCATGTGGTTGCTCGACACATGAAATATAGCTAGAGTCTACAATTCTGGACAGCACAGATCCAGTGAAAGAATGCAGATACAGCAGAAGTAACCCCCAGAGATCTGAGCCACAGAATACTCTAAGGTCTCAACAGAGAGATTAAGTAGTTAGTGGGAGACAGAGGACCAGCCGAGAGTGGTATCCTTGAAGTGGCTAAGGAATGTTTCACGCATGAGGAAGTGATAGAGCCAGAAGCTACTGCATGGTTGAATTGGACAAGCACAAAGAACGACCACAGAATTTGGTGACGTCAAAGGCTGGTGATCACTACTGAACATAAGCACCACATGGGGCTTTTCTACTAGGTGATGATTTGCAGACCTGTTAAATTTTCAAAAACAAATAATAACCTTTATAACATTATACAGGCTGACTCAACACAAGTTAATCATACTGCTTATTATTCTTCTAATACATAGCATTTTTGTTGGGGTTTTCCTGCAATACTGTACTAAAGGCTCAAAAATTAGGGGGAGGCCAAGAAAGATCAGTTGAAGGAGTACAGCTAGACAATTAAGGTAGAAGGTAAAATATTTTTATTAATAATCTACAAAGATCATTTAAAGAAGATCTGGCATGAATTTGACTAGGAAAAAGGAAAGTAAGAAAACTGAATGGTATAAAAATATGTGTGCTTCTGTCAGGCACAGCTGTTGTTATTTTTGAAATGTTCTTTGGCATCAGTCCTCTAATCACATAGCTGAAAGTGTTTACAGTGCCTGTAATTGAAATGGCACTTACCAAAGTGTGAATATCACCTTCGCTGGGGGCGAGATCCCGCTTGGTGATGAGATGGCTTCGGTCACCTTGCCCAGCATTCGTGTCATTCTTTTCAGTTGTTTGCAAAGATGAGATCTAGGATCGTATTAATAAAATGATAGCAATGAAAACCGTTCTACCGTGACATTTTACGTTGTCATTTTACATTGACATTTTGACATAAGCTCTTTTATATGACTAAAATACAGTGAGTGAAAATTTAGCATGACACAAAATTCACTACTTGATGTACAATAAACAGCAAGCACAGAAAAATGAAGTCCTTAATATGGTACCAAAAAAGTTGGCTCTCTCTAGCTATTCCCTTCTTGCCTTGCCTGGCTGGAGGAGAAAAAGTACACATAATTCTATAAAATCACATTTTTCTAGGTCATGTAAGTCAAGAGTCATGAAGAAATGCTATATCTTATCCCAAAGATGGAAATTCCAACAATGGAACACCTTGATACAATATTATATCGTAGATAAACCATAAGGCAATGAACCAAGGTCAACTTGAATCACTTAAGAATATCTCCTGAGGCCAGGTGGTGGCTCACACTTGTAATCCTAGCACTCTGGGAGGCTGAGTCAAGAGAATCACTTGATGGACCCAAGAATTTGAGGTTGCTGTGAGCCATGACACCACAGCACTCTACTAAGGGTGACAAAGTGAGATTCTGCCTCAAAAAAAAAAAAAAAAAATCCCCTGAGACTTACTCCATAAATAGATGATTTACCAGGATCTCACAGAATTAATTCTTACCCATTGTACAAATAATCTAATCCTCAGTATACTGGTTATGAACTAACATATTTTTGCAGACTGGGTTTTTGTATTTAAATGGTTATTTTATTTCATAACAATTCTTTTAATAGTTTTGAAAGAAAACAATTAAATACTATCATAATGAAGAGCTGCTATTAAGCGCATTACCTTAATCCTCAAAGGGTTGATCTCCATGTCTGAAGTGCAGTTCATTGGCCCATCAATATCATAATGAAGGATGTACAATAAAGTGTTATTGTTGTATTTGTAAGGCCACTGAAGATGTAGCATTGCCTTGCTGAATGAACTTGGACCATTGTTTCTCAGCTAATAGAAAAAAAAAAAAAAGGGAAGAAGAAAATGTACATACCTTGGGCAAAAATTTATTCCCCTACATCAACTTTAGAAATCACAGTGGCAACAGGGTTTGAATAACAGCACTGCTTCCTCAGTTAGACTCTAATATTACAATGTGATCATATTTATGCAAAATAAAAGAACGCTTCACATACGTCTCTAGAGTAATATACACTGGGATGAAACTATAAGCAAAAGAGGATAACATTAAAAAGTTATTCATATACAATGACAAAGAAAATTTCCTTCATATAGGAACAAAATTTTGATTATTTGCTATAATGACTTTTTTTTACTCAAGTAGAATTAATTAGCTTTACACAACGAACTATAAATTGCCTTCTTTAAGCAGACCAAGCTATTTGTCAAATGAAAATGAACTTATGAATAGGAAAATATCCAAATAAATCTAATACATACTTAACCTATGCAGAGTTTACATAAAAATTACATAGAATTTTTTTAAAAAAGTAGCTGAGCGGTTCCTTTCGTTGTTGGCTCTCTCACTAGGTTTCAGTTAAAACCAACAGCTGCAAACCTCATAGATGTGCTGAACAACTGGCCCCACATCTTCTTCAGTCTCTGGGTTCTCCTTGTACTCCCAATTTGGAATCGGAAGAAAGATATGATCAGGACTTGAGACTCTAAACAATGACCAAAGAAAACCTACCATGAATATCAAAATGATATAGTCAGTTCATTTTCAAAGCATCTTGTATTCAAATGAATAAAATCAGATTTAATTGTTGAAAGTTTTAAGAAAAAAAAACCAGTAAATGTACATACAAAAGAAAAGCTCTTATTTAATCTACAGGTGAATTGCTAAGTTACTTTTTGCAGAAGTTCACTAAACTAACTGTTTCTTGTTCCTTTTCAGAGGATCATCCAATAAGGATTTGGAGCTTTGGAACACACCTAGGACCTTATTTCTACATATGCTACTGCCGTACACCACCACTAATTGTGGAATGTCTACGATCCTGAAGAAGTCAGGAGGGCCTAGTAGTAACTTTTGAAAAGCAATCAGGAGAATGAGATACTCAACTTAGAAATCATACTGACCCTCTTATCTCCACAGCAGCTAAAACCGCAAGATCAGCTTTGTAAGAGACAAGTGGGCTTACTTTGTCAAAAAGATTAGAGCTGAAAAAGAAAAAAAAAACATACTTAGGACTGAATTAAGCATAACCACCACCAAAATCATATAGAAATAAACTCACTGAAACTAAAAATGAACAAATCAAAAGCAACAAATGAAATACTCACAAATCAACATAATATTTTGATTAGCATTCAATTACAAGAAAATGATCAAATTTTCTTTTGTTTATAAATTTAAACCTGACAAAATTATTTTTACAATGTGAATACTGATTTTAAAAAATGCTATAATAAAGTGCTAAATTTTTATTTGTAAGAGGCAGAGGGGGAGGGGAGTCTTGTTATGTTGCCCAGGCTAGTCTTGAACTCCTGGCTTCAGGGGATATGCCCACCTTGGGCCTCCTATGTTGTGGCTACAGCAGGGATAAGCCACTGAAATTTTAATCTATCCTGTTCTATAATATTTAAAGTGCATCACACAATATATTTATAAAAGTAATATTTACTCAATAGTTATGGTAAGCCAATATAAGTTGTTTTCATACCTTTGAATTTGTAAATCGAATTTCACAGAAGTATCCATCTCTGATTGCTGGTGAACACTGAAACGAAGACCAGCTAAGAGCTAAAGAGGAAAGATGGAAAGGCACTAGTTGTCAATCCAATGAAAGTATGGCGATTTGGTAAGAGGAAGATAACAAACAAACTGTGCTGGGTTAATAGGCTGGGAGAGAAGAAAGGGATGGCTTGTAAGAGTGAGAAAACCCAGCTAAGAAGGCAGCAGTAAGGCCGGACCAGAATTTCTCCTCTCACGTCCCTCAGAAACCCCCAACGCCAAGCATCCTAACCCTCACAGCTGGAAAACTGGTAAGTTTTAAAGAAAACTGAACTACAAGTTACAAGAAAGCAGGCTTCTGGGGGGTCATATAAATATGATAAAAACTGTATTTCTTGGGAACTGCCTCCGCTTTTACAAAGCCTGGAGCTGGAATAACCTATACTATAACCAAAGCCTATATTTGGAATAACCAGGAACTACCTGCCCTGAATGAGGCATCAGCCAGAAAGCTAGAGAGAATGAAACATGAGAAGAGAGAAGGAGACTTGCTTGTTACTGAGACACTGAACACAGGAGAACAAGTGAAACTTCAGGTCTGTGTTCAAGCTCTCGTTCCTAAGATACCACACATACAGAAATAATAATGACTTTTAAGGAAACTATACCTAATGAAATATGGAATATTTAGCACCATACTAACGTAGATCTTCAAATTACCATTATCAATGTGCCATTAAATAAAATAAGGTCCATTGAAAAGTCATAAAACATATACTGCCATTTTTTTCCTCGATACTAACAATTCTACAAGGTATGTTTCGTTTACTTTTTAGAGGATTTGGAAAGAAAACAATTAGATGCTTCTTTTCGAGCTTCTGGGCTCCCTGCTCTACCATCTGCCAGGGAGCCTAATCCAGCTAAACTTCTTATAGATTCTGTGTATGGGACCTGTATTATAGTGTTCAAAGTTAACAAGGTCACTCTATGTCACCTAAGAATGACAGTCTTGGTATTTTCTAGAGTGGCTTTTGAGATTCCATTAACGCATCCATTTAAAAGACCAAAATTATAATTTCAGTTCTTAGTTTAAACCACACTCTCACCCCTTCCCAATGGAAGGTGGCATAAAGGGTGGCTTATTAACACAGTGTAACAACATAAGCCATTATTTTAGCATCTTAGGTAAAACTAAATAAAACTCTGCCAATCATTAAACTTTTAAAGACACTATTTTGAAGTGTTTATTAAGAAAAATTACCATGAACAAACCCAGAGAAAAAATATGCTATTCTATTTGTGGCAAAAAATAAATAAATAAATTTTAAAAATGCCATTTAATTAAAATGTCTTACTTGAGTTCCAGCCTTCATTGGGTTTCCAAGGTCACACACCACCTGGCGGGTTTGGTTTTCTGTCTTAAATGCACAGGAAAGTCTTGCCAAGGCCTTTGTTTGACAATGAAAAAGAATGTAAAAGAGAATAAAAATGACATGCCATTAGATATTTTTCTTTTTTTATAAGGCAAATCAATCTATTTGAGCAAACTAAGAGGAAGGGAGAAGTCAGAGTGGTATACAGTTGCCGTACGGAAACATAAAAGTGTCTCTGAAAGATCCCTAGAGACTCAGACACATAACCATACTGTCTCTGACAAACAATGTGATGGACAAGCTTAGATACTTTATCTATCTGACCTCCGGCACTTAGCTAGCAATTCTACAAACGCCCTATCAATGCATCATGCCACGTATTAGGCTTGAAAGGAATTCTGTAAGACAGGCACTCAATTGTCTGGCGATGTAGCCGTAGGTAGAATGCCTAAGCTTGTGCCTCACTAAATAGTGGAGCAGCTCATTAATGTTAATAAGACTGGTGAGTGCTTTCGATTTTTAAAGAGGCAGCTTGCTTACTTCACTGTTTCGCACAACCCCGATGAAATCAGCCTGTGGTGGTATGGAAACGATGAGCTCGGCTTCGTAGGCACCTTCTCCTTGATTCTGGGCCATAACAAGCAACGTCAGGGGGTTGTCGTCCCCAATGTAGATCTTCTTCTGATCACTGCAAGTTAATAAAAATCCACATTAAGCAGAAAGACTACATGGGGAGCACGTGATTGTTGAAAGAAACAAGAGCCACACAGAGACACCACTGACGTGTTCAACAGTGTCTCAAGATATTTTAAGAGTACTTCACAGCTCAACAGAAAATAACACACTGGGTGTAAACCCAATGTATCAGTAAAAGAAAACATAGATGCTACTAATATATCACTATTATTTATATCTATGACTGAAGTAGTTTTGTATCTCTGTCTGTACTTTTAAATTCTCTGATTTTTTTTTCCTAAAAGCTGAATTACCCATTTTTCATGATTTCTGACAATTATTCTTTACAACTTTTATGCCACATAAATGGAAAAGACAAGGCAGAGGTGGGTGGACTGCTTGAGCTCATGGGTTCGAGACTAGCCTGAGCAAAAGCAAGACCCCATTTCTACTAAAAATAGAAAAACTAAGGCAAGAGGATAGCTTGAGCCCAAGAGTTGGAGGTTGCTGTGAGCTATAGTGCCATGACACTCTACCCAGGGCAACAGCTTGAGACTCTCTCTCCAAAAAAAAAAAAAAAAGTAAGGACACCCCTTGAGATAACAGTATGTCCTCAACAAAGCAGATCTTTAAGATCAGTTAATATTACTGTGTAATACTACCCAAAGCTAACTGGTCACAAATCTGTCACTCTAGGTAACTACTGAAAACACAGTGGATATTCTTTTTGAAGCTCCACATTGATAGTTTTATTATTATGGAAAATCATACATGTATTCCAACATAACTAACTCTTATTAAAATATATTAGCACTTTGAATAGAAAAATGGGCTCTTTTGTTTGTATTTCTGTCAGAGTGTTTATTATTTGGGGCAAAACTTACCTATCTACAGAAACTTCCAGCTTGGGTTTACAAACATTGTCTTCACCACAGTCAAGCAGGATATGAGCCTAGAAAAGACATTTCATTTTTTCTACATGAAAATATAGCGATCCAGGTTGCATATAAAATGTATATCAGTATACATGTGGACATCTATGTACTCATGTTATATTTATACACACTCATCAGCTTATTTCCATACCTAAATGAGCAAGATTATAGCCACTTATTTTTAAATATGTCAGTGTAGCTAATTAAAAGTGAGAATGAAAATTTAAAGACTCATAGGATATAACACAATTATCTGGAACTTTTTACTCGTATCTCAAAATAAGCTATTATCATTTTGGAATGAAGTGTACAGTAGAGAGAAAGTATAAGAGAGTTCATTCCTCTTATAAATGGAGAGTTATTTTGACTCTGTTGCTAAGTTGTATGATCTTGGGCAACATAAAGTCTCTCCTGGAGCTGGACTGCATCTCTGCCAGTATTACGGATCCAGAGAGACAATTCAGACAGGCAGATAGAACAAAGAGGGAAAGAAACTGGACAAAATGAGTTCTGTGTGTCCCTGGCCACGTGGAAGGAGATACGGGACAGGAGCGAGAAGTGTTACAGCTGGCTCATCAGAGTGGGTAAAATCAGCAAAAACCACAACTTTTTCCCCCTCTAGATCTGGCCGGGAAAATTTTCTAGCTAAAGCAGTATGGAAAAGCCTAAAAAAGAGAATTAGTGAAAGGAAGCAGAAGAGCTCAAATAGGATGCAAAAAAAGAAATATAAAATGAAGAAAAGAAGTAAAAATAAAGATGAAGCCATTCTTGCTTTGTCCATTGTTAACATCCAAAGGGCTTTAGGGGTAGAGGTCAATGATAAGAAAGAAAAGAATTTAAACAGGAAGAAAATGAACAGAATTCTTCAAGAGAAAGATAATGATGGTATACGTCTAAGTTATAAGAATGTCTGGAATAAAATTCTATGACAGAAATCTTTACTGTCAGTTTAATTGAGAGGAAACCCCAACATATATATGAATTAATTCAATTACCTAGACATAAGCAGTTGCTATAATCCTCAATAAAAAAAAAAAAGAAGGATCAGGACTACTAGAAAAACTTTATGGGGATTCTTCATCCTTATATCATGCCAAGTGTACATCACTGCTCAAATGAATCAGGAATAGAGCGTGGATTTTGCTGATAATAAATGAACTAGTGGAGTGTATATGAACTATTCTTACGGCGTGTATACCATTCTCAACGACAATGTTAGATGACTATCTGAAGTTTGGAATGAGAAATATGCATAAGATACTAATACAACTTTGATTAAAGACTACTTGACTACTACAAGGAAGAAAAAGGACTTAAGTGATGCTGGAACAGCTGCAGTATTCACAGATGCTCAGAAATGGAAAAGCAAAAGCAATATATCCCATGCCCAGAGAACCAAATCTCTGCAGGTACATAGTTCATATCTCTCACAGAGTAAGAACTTAAGATGTATTTGAATAAAAAGATAGAGAGGAAAAAAATGAACTCTGCAGAAAGCACTAAATCTCTAACTCTAAGGGTTTGGGATACACAGAGGGAAACGCTAGAGCTTTGAGTCCAATTTGGAAGTCAATACGGCTTTTGAGTTCTTGATAAGGGCCTAAGTGACAGAGGAACTGATTTTTAAATTTTATTTAATTTTAATTAAAGTTCAAGATTGATACTTAGTTCTGTTACTGCAAATGGTTAGTATATTTAGAACAATGTGAGTGTGGGAATCCACTTTTTCAACTGTAAATTATATGAATTCTAAATACAAAAAAATTCTAAAGAAACATTAATATTTGAATCTAGATGCACTGTGTTTTATAATATCATCTGCATTTTGAAGACAATAAGAAAGAGAATGTAAAGTATTTCACTGATAATTTTCTTTTTTTTTTTTTTAATTTTTTGAGGCGGGATCTCAATCTAGGTCTCGTTGTCCTACACTGATGTGGCTTGGTGACGAAGCTGATAACAATCTTAAACACTTGGGCTCAAACAATCCACCTGCCTCAGCCTTTTGAGTAACTGGGACTACAGGTGCCCACCACAATGCTCGCTAGTTTTTAGTAGAGATGAGGTTTCATTTTTTTGCTCAGGCTGGTCTGGAAATTCTGAGTTCAAGCAATCTGCCCACCTAGACCTCCCAGAGTGCTAAGATTACCAGTGTTAGCCACTGCGCCCAGCACACTGATAATTTTTAAACTGATAACATGTAGAAATGATATTTTAGATATTAGGGGGTGAACAAACACAAAATTATGATTATAAATTCTACAATAATGGACAGTAAAAAACAGCACATACACTATGATTATGAATGTGCAAAATTAAGCATAAAAATGAATTGTTAAAATATAAAAGTTACATAAAACTTAAAAAATATTTTAATTTGTTTTAGCTGCTGTCTCATAGTCTTTTCAAATTACAAAAAGAAAAAAACAAACAAAAAAAAGAAACTTATGAGATGTTAAGAAGAAAAAGAAATGACAATCTAAATTTAGGGTAGATTCTATGAGAGAAGAAATATGAATATAAAAATATGAACATGTTAAAAGAAAGAAATAAGATACACAGGAACAATATTTAAATATGTGGGTTTACATAGGAATCTCTAAAATTATAATATAGCAGGGGTCCTCAAACTTTTTAAACGTGGGACCACTGTCCCTCAGACCGTTGGAGGGCCGGACTGTGGGACCTGGGACGAGTCAGCTGCTAAGCAGGACAGGCAGCAGCGGCAAAAACACCCAGCGGGCTAGATAAATGTCCTCGGCAGGCCACATGTGGCCCACGAGCTGTAGTTTGAGGACGCCTGTAATATAGCCTTTTAAATATTTTATGTTGCTTCGATTGGTTTATGAAAGGAATCATTTATGTACTATACATATATATACTTTTTTATAATTAAAATGTCCATAAAAGATAATATCAAAGATATTCAGCAAAATACTAAAACACTATGTAAATAAACTAGTGTTTTGCTTTTTGCCTTGAATTATTTTACTATTTTATGGACATGAAACGTGGACCTGACTTTCTCTGCATAACAAATATCTCTGACATGAAAATTCAGATTTCTTTCCCCCGACTTTAACTAAACACCTACCAACATTATAAAAACATTCGCTAATAAGATTTAAAAACATAAATTGTAAAATCTTAAAAAAAAGATCAAAGTATGAAATTCATGACAAACTGAGAAAGGAAAAGTACCTGTCGGCTAACGTTGGCAGGCGTGAACTGGTTCAGAATGGGCTGCAAGCCTGTGGTATCAGCAGCTGTTCTATAATCCAACCGATACTCCATAAAAATCGTAATTGGAGTGAGTTTGTCTCTGAATTCAGATTCATCCTAGGATGCAAGAGCTGTGATTAATGATGATTTCACTTAAATTATCTGGAGAAATCCCTAAGTGTATGTCACAAAGCCAGATGTGTTCATCCCTTGATCCTTCAGTTGTAACAAAAATCTCTGGGAAATTAATTTACATGGGGATAGAATACCCAAAAAAGAAGATTACTGTTATCCATTGGGAGTTCTCAATCCCTTAATGATGTTTTTGTTTCATCCTGTAATGTTTGATTTGCACACAAATATGCAAAGCACATTAATAAAATGTGCACTCACACACTCCTCATAATAAAAAGAAAATTACCAGTATTTTTAATGCTGCCTAAACGCTGCTTTCTCTCTTCTTCCCTCTGCCTTCCTTCTCAGAGATAACCACCGTCCTGAATTTCAGGTTTGCCATTCTTTTGCTTTATGGGAGTAAAGTAGTAGTTCTGCTATATTGTACATATCCCTAAATAATGTTTGTTACTTTTTTCCTTTGTTTTATTTAAAAATGGGATCACATATCCCTAAATAATGTTTGTCACTTTTTTCTGTTGTTTTATTTAAAAATGGGATCACAGGTAGTGTTCTGTGATTTTTCTGTCCAACACTCTTTTCCCAAGACTCATCTATGCTATTGCATATAGCTCACATTAATTTTTACTGTTGAGTAATATTTCATCAATAAATATATCACAATTGATTTATCCATTTTCATGTCAAGTGATGAAAAAGAAATGATACTAGAGCAGAAAAGTATCTCTTACCCGCAGATATGCTATCAGTTCCTCACACTGCATCCGTCCCCCCCTTGAAATAGTCATGTTCTTGGAGTGACCTGGGGACCTGTTATGGAGAAACAGTGCTCGTCGAATTGCTCCCTTTTGCTTGAGTTTATCCAAAAGAAGCTCCACCTGGAAGTCTATACAAACCAAAGGATTTATAACCAAGATATTGTGATGGACACCTGTCTGTCCTAGAGTATTCATGTAAATAGAGATATCCACTCTTCAAGAAGTCATTTGCCTTTTTCATTAAAAAGTCTATACATTGTAAATTATAAATATTTAATTATATTTAAGTCATTCCCAAAGGAATATCGTACTTAATTCCAAATAATACAAGTAAAATAATAATCAGGCTGAGGAGGACTTTTGTCTCTTAGGCCAAGAGGAGAGAGTCCAGGATGAAGCATGTAAACCAAGATTTCTACCATTAATCCAAGTAGCAAGAGTTTCACTGATTTTAAGTATTTACTAATACGCACCCACACTGGTAAACACTACTGAATGAACAGGGTGCATCCTTGGTAACTCCTGCTTCTTATGAAGGTACCACATCAAATTGTAAGAAAAATGTACCCCTCAGGAAGCAAATGACCAGACAGAGTTAAACAGGTCGAGAATCATCTTCAAATGAACGTGAGGCTCAGAGTTTGAAGCATGGTTGTTAGGATTATGGCCTTCTAAGACTCAGTCCTTTAGTTTCTTAAAAGAAATAAGAGTACAAATCTTTGCCAACACAAGTTTCTCTACATATTGACCCTCATCTCAAATTTAGGTAAAAAACCAGGGTAATGTGTGTTCTGTTCTACCCAGCCACGGTGTCCTCTCAGTTTCTGAACACCGAGCACGCTCTTCCCACGAGACCTGCTTGGCTGCCCTGTGCAATCGCTCACACACAGACACACTCCCAACAGCTTCGGGTATCTTCTCTGCTTTATCATCCATTACTCCTTAACACTAGCCACTGTCTAACATACTGCCAGAACTTGGCAATAATTCCTTACTGCTCCTACCATACTCTCAGGGCCACATCAACCATTTTAGGAAAAGAGGAGAGTAAAGTTTGCCGTGTGGATTAAATTTAGTGACCAAACTTTTTCCCCTTCTCACTACTTCTGAACTGCCTCTACTCCTGAGATTGCTGGGGCTTCCCCAAGACATAAAATATAAACTTCTCAGTAACTCATCTGCTCATAAAGAATGATCCTCATATTTCCCATGGAGTTCATTTCTCTCATGTTGGTAACTGTTGGACTGTCCAAAAGTCATATGCTTAACATTCTGTGGGCTATTTTGCTTACGATGTCCATAAATAAGTGTATCATTTCTAAATGGCCTTAAGAATTCCCCAAGTGATTATGTTGCAATCTTGAATATCATTAAGCATAAACATTCAAATAAAAAGCAGAAACAATACCTAAAACATTTTAGGTGCTGTATATGCAGCATCATTAAAATCAGATGATTTTCCATAGAATACTTACTAAGTTTCCTGGGAAGTGCCCCTTTGCCATCCGCCTTTAAGCAGAACCTGACATTAAAACTGTGGGAAAATAAAATATATAAAAATCTTATAATCCAGTTTAGACATATTTTTAATACATTTCTAATGCACAGTTTATATTGTCAAGTCTTATATCTTTCCTCATGTCTTAATATTATTCTTGAAACTCAAAACTATACAGACTACACTAATTCATCCTACCGTAATTTAAGCAAATTTCCTTTCATGGTACCTTAATGAGAAAAAAGAATTTCTTAACCTCCTCTCAAGTTTACAGAACTCGTTGATAAATCTAAATAAGGAAAGTGATAGTTTACATTTAAAATACTGTCTCATTTAATAAAAGGATCCACCAAACTTCCTTTAATTAGCAAGCTCCTCTAGAGAAGTGTTTTTCACAATTATTAACAAGTTGACATCTATTTAATGGGTTGTGTCCAGCATCATAAAAAAACAAATTAAATAAATCAAATTGTGTAGCAGCCCATATAGCTTATGGCTAGGAGGAGTGAGAGTTACAAGAAATACCTGTAATGGGACACCTTGGTGGAAAGGGCATGGAGAGGGATTTAGCTGTAACTAGCATGAGAGAGCTCGCGAGACGAGAGCATTGGGGAATTGGCAATCTCTATACCTGCGGTGTTGAGAGGCACGAGCTCAGCCTTATATTAGGCTGGAGGAGAAGGCAGGCGGGAACGTGTGCATTCTATCATGGACATGCTTACTCTGGCTCTGTCTCCTCTCCTGCCTGCAGAAGGCCAGCACGGCATCTCTCTGCTGAAGATTACCAAGCTCTGCTAAAGACTAAGAGCTATCTGTTCTAAGAAGACTGCTTTACTCTCTCTAAGGTACTCTGTCTCTCTCTCTCCAGCTAAAGTAATAGCCCTCAAGCACCTAAGCTGGGCCTGAGACCTGGCCAGTCCTGGGCCCTGACAAGTGGTGTCAGAAGCGGGATAGAACACCACTGACATACGGTGCTGTGAGCAGGATTCAATGAATGCGGACAGAGAGGGAAATAAGCTTTAGCAAATAAGAAAAAAAGAGAAATAGAAATATTTAGAGAGAAAAGAAGTATTTAAGAAAGACAGCCAGCAGCAGGCCTTTCTCATTTGCTTTTTCCTCTTTCCAAATTCTAACTACTACTTCTGTGGGAAAAAAGCTGGTAAAAGCCTCCAGCTTTGGCTGGAGAAAAAAGCCTTTAGACCAGAGGGAAAGAGAAAAGATAAACTAGGAGATAAGAACCTTCAGCAATCAAGCCTTTAGCCTCAGGGGTGAGAAAAGCCTTCAGTAAAACAGCAAAGAGAAAAAGTTTGGGAATAGGTTGCAAGAGTTTATTAAGTTAAGGAAGAGAACTTCTAACTGCTTTTTCATATATCTTCGCCCAGTGTCAGCAGGAAGTAGCTTTTGAGAGACCTATGCCCGAATCCCTTTTTGAGTTGAGTTCTGTTTAAAAAGAAGTGAGGTAGATTAAGGAGGCTGGTGAAGAACTAGAGGAAGTGAAGTTTTGTAAAAAAGCTAGGACTCCAGAGTAAAAAGGAACAGAAGTTCCTGTCCCTTTAAAGGTTCTAAGAATTGAAAAGGAAAGATTGTAAAAAGTAGAAGGCCGAAAGAAAGTCAGTAGAAAAAAAAATCACGGAAAATGAGATACAGCAGTTGAATGAAGTATCAGATGGACCAGCTTAAAGACCAGATTAAGATCATGGCAGCTGATAGACAACAGTTGAGAGATCAGATGAATAATCTTATAGTAGAAGCAGGTAAATGCTGTATTGACATGGCAACTCAAATTGGGCAGCTGGATGATCAGAGAGTAAATCCCCCAGTTAGCATCAAATGTGGAAGCTAGGCCATAAGAGAAAAGAGTTTAAAAGGGAAAAGAATGATGAATGCTAAAGAAAAGGAACAAAGAGCATGTAAACCTCCAGGTGTATGTCCCAAGTGTACAAAAGGCTTTCACTGGGCAAACAAATGCCGTTCTCAATTTGACAAAGATGGAACACCTTTATTGTAGGGAAATTATCAGTTGGGCCAGAATCAGGACCCACTGGTAAATGAAAGAAAAAACAGTTTAATATTTTCATTTCAAACCATTCTCGAAAACACAGTATAATTCAATTCAATGCTATGGGAGCCCTCTGCCAGCTTGATTAGACCTGTGGTGCCTCAGCGTAAAACTAGGGAAATTAAACCAGACCAATGGATGATGATGAAGAATAATTAGATTAAATGTTTGTGGAATATCAGGTTATCCTGTGTGGTGAAGGGGTAACGGACCTCTCATCAGCGTCTGTGTACTATAACCAGGTCCAGCTAAAGAGCCCGGACATGGCCCAAAGAGAAAAGGGCATTCTATCACAGACTCGCTTACTTTCTGTCTCCTTTCCTACCTACAGAACCCCAGCACGGCATCTCTCTGCTGAAGATTACCAAGCTCTGCTAAAGACAAAGATCTATCTGTTCTAAGAAGACTGCTTTACTCTCTCTAAGATTCTCTCTCTCTCTCTAGCTAAAGTAGATAGCCCTCAAGCACCTGAAGGGAAACTGTCCTGAGCAAGGTAGCTTAGCGGTCTGTGTCCGGAACCTACCTAAGCTGGCCCGAGACCTGGCCAGTCCTGGGCCCTGACAAGTGGTGTCAGAAGCAGATCCTAACAAAATTTACTTAAATATCAAGAGCATATATGATTTCACAAAACTATTTTAATTATATGTGTTTACTGGATTTATAATGCAAAATGATTTCTTACATGTCATTTAGGCAAAAATCGTATGAAAGCTAATTCTACGCTGACATAAGCTGTAGTTGTGTATTTGTAGCCTTTGAATTATTAGCATAATTATAAGCATATTATTGGTAACTTCAGAGACATTCAGGGTGAATGAGGGGAAGAAAGGTAGTAACACTTATCAATAAAACCAAAATCTTAAACAACTTCATTGCCAACCAATAAAAATGAAGAATATTATTAAATTTCTAGCGTGATCTAATAAATTAAAATTTCTCAACTTTAGTTAACTATAATACTTTTAAAATCGAAATTAATGCACAAATAAACCAGGAAAACTATTTGATTAGCTCTTTTGAAATAACATTTTTCTAGCTACCAATCATTCTCCTCTGCATCTATAAGTTCTCTGCAGTTTTTCTGTGTGAAAAAGGGTTTCCCAAAATGGGCTACACACAGCAATTTTAACAGTATATCATGGGTCAAGATTTTTCATTAGTTTGATATTTATTTTGACATGTATGAGAAAGATACTAGTTTCTACATTTTATCTTTAAATATTTTGAAGAAAAACATGAGTCAATTTAAAGAAAACCTTAAAAATTATAATACATCTAGAATAAAAATAGAGCAAAAATCATGAAATTTACATACAAGTGATGCAGAGAAAGAAGAGATTAGAGAAGAATTCAATTCTGATATTGAATTTGTGAAAAAATATTGTTCTTTGGAAACTAGTAAAAGACCAATATACGACAGCAAAATATTTTTTTCATACAGCTATTCAGATATTAAATTGAAAAGAACACAACTTTTAAAATTAATGTTCATGAACTTATTTAGAATTAAATATATATTAACTCTGACATAGTAGCTTTTCCTTCACTTTGAAAATATTCATTAACCATGAATTCTTTAAAAACTAATTTTATTACTAATAGAGTAATTTCTAGAACCTTTTCGATATCTTCTTCGGAGCACTATTTCAATAATCCAACCCATGACATTTAAATAGAGCATAGCTACACAAACTCTACTGCCTTCATTTCCAGTTATTCTTACATTGATTGAACTCATAATCACAATAATAACTATTACTAAACAAATATCCTTACCAGGAAACTTTGAGAGCTGTCCCCGGCAGTGGGCAGGTCTTATTGTCTTGATTTAAAATGCTAGGGTATACTTCAAGGCCAGCATTTACGGTGATCACTGGCCTGGCCCTAGTTTGAGAAAGAGGAGAGAGAGAAGAGGAAGGGGAAGAAGAAAAAAGAGGAAAAGGAAGAAGAAAAGGAGGAAGAGGAAAAAGAAGAGGAAAATAGTTACTTAAAAGTCAGGTGATTCTAACCATTCCAGTTCACATTCACTACACACACAGAGCAGTGAAGCACTGTTTGCAGTAGTAAAAAAAAAGTGACAGGGCAGCACCTGTGGCTCAAA